GAGTAAGTGGCAAAAAACATTTTTACTTCAGGTCAGAAATTTTAAGATTCCATCAACCTACAAAGAACATGAAATATCTTTCCTACTTTTACTTTGCACCCTGGCTTTCTGAATCGTTAGTTGTGTGAACAGGTCACTTAACCCCTCCAATTTCCTATAAAATGCCATAGTATTTCCTAGGTCAGATCCTGTAGAGGCAGCCAGCCAGTGAGTGAGCTGGTCTGTGGAAGGGACCCAGGCCAGTGCCTGCCACGTCATCAGTGCCCAGTTAAATTGTTATGATTGAGCACGGTGGGAGATGGAAACAATATTTAACTGATAACACTTTTTTTCAAGTTGCTAAAAGTCAGCTAAGGGGCCAGGATGCCTACACAGATAACTACAATGGAATGAAATCAGATTACTGTGATACTAGGAGTGTGAAAAAAACTGCAATGGGAGAGGGGCTGCATTCATTGGTGAAATTAGGGAAAGATCTAAGGAGATCTTTTCAGCTAAGCCAGCTTTTCCCGAGGTGTGTAACACACATGGTTCAGTGATGCGAGATGATTTCGGGTGCTCAGACACAGCATGAAGGAACTTTGAATTCCGTGGTGGAAAAGTTAGATTCCTTTTTCCAGCCAGTCTGATCTCATTAGGGAGAACCTCTCCACGTGGGGCCAGAAGTGACAACTCTAAGTTGTCAGCAGTGACATGCTCATCTGCCTTTTCCTCATGGAGAGAGCAGGCCGCAGGCTCAGAACATGGAGCATCCACTTAAAATGTGTGGTGCTTTCATGCTATTTTTACAGTTATGCCAAGTGATACTGGTTTTGCCTGTAATATAGTGATACAAAGATTCCTTTATAAATAAACTTTAAGGAAGACAAAAAAATGAGTTACTTGAAAAAAATATTAAGTAAATAATGTTACATATGGTTCATGGATTATGGTAAACGGTATGAGCTAAGCTATCAAAGAGGGACAGAAATTTACTAGGGACAGTGAGAGTATTCCTGGTGTGTGGGCTTTAGAAAAGGGGCAGGAGTAAAGAGAGAGAATAATAACCAGTTCAATCTGGAGGGCGCAGAGTTCACTACTGATAAGTAATAAGGCTAAAAGTACAAAAACTATTATTAAAATTCTACTAGTAACAAAGAATTTACGAACCTGTCAATAATTGTTGACATTCATAACTGCCGTTTCTTGTCATTTTTTACATGGACAATTTTCTTGTGTGCCTGTAGATCTGAGGAGAAAATTAAGCACTTCAGTCAACTTAAATCTGAACTTATTCTTAAAGACAATACTTTGAGGAAGATACTTTGTTTAATTACGGAACTTAAAGTGGCAGCCCGGAAAAACTTCATCCTGAAAAGGCTTTTCTGGAAAGTAGGTGTTTTGTTTTATTTTTACTCTTTAAAGCTTGTTTTTACCTATTTACCAAATCTAAGCATAAATTAAAATATCAATAAATGTCTTATATTCTGATGCTGTGTTTTAAACTGTTGATTAAATTGAATTCAGTCACGTCTTAGTGCTTGAAAATTTGTGATGGGATCAATAAGGCATATGTGTGTGTTGTGGGGAAACGGGAAGAGAGAGGAGTGTAGCAAAAAGCAGCTCACGTGGTGTTGGTTGGCAGAGTCAAAGAAGAGAGATATTAAACGGAAAGTTTTTGGCATGCAAGACATATTAGGACGGACGGTGAGATGAGAAAATAGATTTCAAGAAGTTTTACTGTGCAGGTTCCCCTACAGTAAAAATATAATTTTAAAAAATTCCTTTTGAGTGTAGGACTGGTATTTTTAAAAACGTGACTCCTGGGAAGCCAAGGCAACCTGTTTTCGCTCAGTAAGTTACAGATAATTCATTTTCAGTTTCAGATGAAGGAGTTAAGAAGTCCAGGTGAGTAGCGGTGTGGTGCTAATGAGCCTAGAAGTGGGGCAAGCCCTGCCTGTGCTATATGTTGTATCCTAATTCTGCTCAGTCGTCTCCTACATGGCTGCCACTGTTTTACTGAGCAGTTGTGAAACACACAAACTCCCAACTGATGGTCCCACGCTCCCAAGACGGTCCTGGCCACTGCTTAGGTGCTTCATCTGTAGGATGACCAACCATCTTGGTTTGCCCAGCATCACCTCTAGTTTTTGCTCTGGTCACCAGGACAGTGGTCTCCTGGTTATAAGTAAAAAGTATGTTTTCAATTGGGTTATGTTAGCATTGAGGAGAGATATTATATTCACTTCTTTACTCAAAAACAAATCATTTCGTCATGCTTTTGTTACATAAGGATAGAGAGTTTTAACAATTGATACTGGCCAGAGGTAGTGGCTCATGCCTGTAATCCCAGCACTTTTGGGAGGCCAAAGCAGAAGGATGGCTTGAGGCTAGGGATTCAAGACCAGCCTGGGCAACATAGTGAGACCCCATGGCTACACAAAACAATTAAAAATTAGCTGGTGTGGTGGCATGTACCTGTAGTCCCAGCTATTGGGGAGGCTGAGATAGGAGCATTGCTTGGGCCCAAGAGTTCAAGGATACAGTGAGCTATGATCACACCACTACACTCCAGCCTGGGTGACAGAATGAGACCCATAAACGAACCAACCAACAAAACAACTGATACCTTAATAACCATCTTTTTTCCTACTTGCTTTCATAGACCAGTGACCTTTTCAATTTCCTAGTGAACAAACTTC